TACGTCCTACGTGGTTGGTACATAATTTTTAAAGTGTCATTTTTCTTGGGTTGCAAATGAGGGAGTTGTGCGTTTTCGAATTAATCATAATGCTTACTATTCAAACGTGCATTGAGAGATCCAATTGTTCACTCCCGTTTGCTTTGAGAAAACAAACAAAACAAGAGGGTTTGAAATCCAAATCTGTCATTTTTGTAGACTTTCTCAATATCAAAATTAAGATTTAATATTTTCAAATGTCACAGATCTATCAATTCAAATAAAAAAATTTTTATATCTTGAGTTTGTGAAATATCAAACCAAGGGTTTGAAATCTCCATGAGTTGTCCACTAACCACTCTCATCGTTGGCTATACCCTGACTATCATTGCCAGTCGCTGACTATCATTAGCAATCATCAATTAAGATTTGTCGTCTAAACATATTCATTCTATTAGGGTATTTGTTATGGCGTGTGAGGATGGGTTTGACTGTCAAGAAATCAACTCGACCAGAATTCAACCTTGTAATCATACGTCTAGGAAATATTTTATACTTTAACACGTCTTCTCACGTGCAAGTGAGATTTGTTTTTGTTCGAACCTTAACATTAATTTTTCTAAACAAATTGACGGTGAAGTTTGAACTCGTGATCTTTTAGTCAACTAGGCTCTCATACAATATCCAGAAACGAACTTAACCAAAAAAAACTCATGCTCTATTTAGAGACTCAAAAATATGTGCAGACATATAAAAATATGTGCATATGTGTGCCGTGTATATCTTTTTATCGTATGAAATTATCGTAGAATATCATAAATTATGAAAACAAAGAAAATAATTATCCCATAACAAATTGCAGTTGATTTAATAATAGTTTGACTTTAATATAATTTAAAATTAAAGTATTGTCTAATTTGATTTTAAAAATCAGAAACGGATACGGATATATCCGATATCCGACCGATATCCGACGAATGCAGATACGGTTTTGATTTTCAGTATCCGTCAAGATCCGCATCCGAATTCGATATCCGACAAAAAAAACGGATACGAATTTGATAATGGCACATCCGATCCGATTAATATCCGTTTACACCCCTAACTCAAATGATAACACAGCTCCCAAAGTGTGAACGGTACAAGCGTATTGAGCCCACGGCGACAGCTCGGCGCCATGTTGTCGCGGCATTTGGCGTTCAAATTCAACTACTTTTGAAATTTAAAAGGTAGGAGTGTGTCTCAATCTGTTGGGATCTTAGGCGGATGATGCTATCCACATTAATTACCCAATGTATGTATACACACCCACAATCCAAAATTTGAGTAATATATTTTTATTGTCTTTCAAAGGGAGTGACATGTTTTTATTTTTAAGATAAAATTATTACATTGTGATAATGTGGAATTGTATATTGATATTGCACAGTATTTTTTTAGTATATTATGTCGGTATTATTAAAACTATAAATCTTATTTTGAAATAAAAACATTTATTATATTCTATTTTGATATTTCTTATGTTTTACTCTTTCTCTCTACTTTTCTTTGTACATTAAGAAATACTTTCTTCGTTCCAAAAAAGCCTTCTGATTGTGTTATGTTCAAAAAAAATTTAAAAATAAAGTTGTGTGATTAAAAATAATGAAAATGAGAGAAAAACAGGGTGAGCCACATTAATTTTTTAAAAAATAAAAACAGAAGTCTTTTGCTAGGATAAGAGCTACTTCCTCAATATGGAAAATAAGTTTTCACTTTTCATACACTATTCACATGGTCAAATTTTAACCATTTTTTATCTATCCTATTACTCATTTGATTAAAATAATAATCATATTACCTCTTATTTTGTAGTCTTCGACCGCCACTCTCTAAACTACCAAGTTACTAAGACTAGGGTTACGTTTCACTCCCAATTTGTTCCCCGTAACACTTATTAAATACTCTCTCCGTTTATAAATAAAGTTTCCGTTGGGCGTTACAATATTTGACTCCACTTATTTTCAAATAATTTTATATAAAAAATGATATAGAATTTTAAAAATAAAAAGTACATATTTAAATACTACATGAAAAGATCTACAAAACTAGAGATGACATGATTATATTATTTTATCAAATAGGACACGGAAATAGGTCAATAAAGTGAATAAAATTTGATCCTGTGAATAGTGAACGAGAAATTTATTTTTGGACAGAGGAAATATAATCATGTTGTTTTTTATTTTTAAAATTTTTGTTATATATTGCTCCCTCAAAATTTTTGTTATAGTTTTTAAATGTATAATTTTTTCACACTAGTTTTAAGTTAAACTGGACCGAAATTAAGTCTAGCCAATTACCTTGACAAAATAGTGTTTTTTATTTTGACTTTTGAGACGGAAGCTAGAAGTGCTATTGAAAAATATTTTATTATTTTATTCTTGTACTACCTCCATCTCGAAGTATTTGTCCAGTTTTGACCTTTTCAGTCAACCGTTTTTAATCTTTGACATATAATTAAATAAAATATATATTGTATATTAATAAGATAAAAATATTTTATATAATAAATCTATAAAACTATTTTTGTATCAATATCTAATATCCTTTTTATTTAATTTGAGATAGAATTTTATGAATTTTGACTAAAAAAGTCAAAAATAGACAAATAGACCGAGGGAATATATATTACTTTAAAAGAAATCTACTTTAATATGTTCAAAACATACCCTTTCTTGCACATCTTTTTCTAAAAATTGTTGGAAAATTGAGTGAACTATTTGTCAAGCTCCTACTACATTTTAAGAAAATTACGGGGGCCAGAGTAACTTTGTACTGTATTTTTTTTTTTTTTTTGCATAAGACTAATTCTTGATTTAGAGGGTGTTTGGGATTGCATTTGAAAATAACTTATAGCTTCTACTTTACTAAAACACAATTTTAAATGTTTGTTAATCTGCTTTAGCTTATAAATTATGACTTTAGAAGTTAAAATTAAGGTCTAGAAGTGCTTTCTAGCAAAGCTACAAATACATGTTTTCTGCTTCTAAATTATGACTTCTACTTTTACATAACTCACCACACTCCCAAATGTGATATACGTAGTATATGAGAGTCTTAATTGTTCATTTAAGAGTAAATTTCAAAAATAATACTCCCTCCGTCCCAAAAAGATTTACACATTTCAAAAAAATTGTGTCCCACAATCTCCTATCTATTTCTATTAAAAAACCACTTTTACCCCTTACTTTTCAAACCCTACCTATCACATCATACCTTTTTCCTAATAATCTACAAATCACATCCTACTTTTACCCATCACATCAAGGGTATTTTTGGAAAGTCAACACAAAATTATCCCTCCCTTAATTTTCACTTTAGTCAAAATGGGTAACATTTTATGGGACGGAGGAAGTAACTTATAAGAAAAGGTTTTTCATATAGTCTTTAATTCGTGGTCTTTAACATGTGAAGACTTTTTTATGATATATCAGCCCTTAATGAACTACTGTGAAAAACATTATTTGGATTAAAAGACGGATTCCAAAACAATTCTCAAATATAGATGATCAGAAATGCTACTCCGTATATCTTAGAATAAGAGATTATATATATAAAATCTTATTTTATTAAGGATCGCTTATAAAATTTATTCTTTGTTATTATTGTTGTTGTTGTTGTTGTTGTTGTTGTTGTTGTTGTTGTTGTTGTTATTATTATTATTGTCACCAGTAATTTTGTACTCCGGTAAATCTTTTTTATGTACTCCTTCTGTCCCATTTTAAATTACATGCTTTTTTTTCCCGTCACAAAATAAGTTTCCTGTTTCTTGTTATCGTAAACTTTTAAGAGTAAAATACCTAAACTATCCCTAAAATAAGTCACTCTCCTCCACCTTATCTTCTCATTCATCGTCACCCCTCCTAAAAAGTAATGACAAATATGGAAAGTCAACTCTATTTTTTTACTTCCGTAAATATGTCCCAAAATCAAAACGGACGATTTAAAACAAGACTGAGGGAGTAGTTTTTTAAATATGTAATTTTTATTTTTTAATTTTTCACCATTTTTTATATAAAATAATTTAAAACTAACTTCAAACAAATATCATAAACCTTCAAACAAATATCATAAACCGAAATAGACAATTTAAATTGGGACACGAGGATAATTATCCGTGTGTATGTATTTATGTATGTATGTATGTGTATATACACACACACACACATACATGCACAATACTATATTATTTTGATAGAGATAATAATAGTGAAAAAAGAGGGAGAGATCGAGAGCAACAATTACAACAACCCAATTAGATACCACGAGAATAGAGTCTGGAGAAAAAATGTATACGCAAAGCTTGCCTCTACTTGAAAGTAGAGACAAGAGACCTTATCTCAAGCTACATAGGTAAAAACAATCACAGGGAACACATAGAGCTAAAAAGAAGCACAAAAAGCAACAATTGTACTCAGTATTTATTTAGTAAAAAAAATATTTTTCTCCGCCCCACAAAAGAATTCACATTTCTTTATTCAAAGGGTTTGAATAAAAAGGAATATGTAACTAACAAAATTTCTCTCTTCTAAACGCACCATGTTCATTTTTTCAACATTTTTTTTTTAATTTTGTAAGGTCAAACACCGAAGATTTTTTCAAGACGGCGGGCCGTATTTGACCACGCCCCAGTGAGAGGATTCGGACACCAGCAATTTAAGATATCAAATTAGATCATGATTTGGTAGGTTCATTCCGCACACTAGCCACACGTAATGATCTACCCCGTAGTATCATTTTTTTTTCTTTTTTAGTCGAAGTCAAGATTTGACACCATGAGATTATCATTTTTTTTTCTTTAGTGCTATTGACTCGATTAAGATGTAATATCTATTAACACTTTTCTCAACCTAATGACACATAAAGTGTCAACGTCTTCACGTGCTCGAACTTGGGTGACTCTCCTTGAATCTTGGGGAATGAGTTTTCTTGCCACTCAAGTCAGAAGAGAAGTTCGAGATGATCACAATTATTCCTCTAGATATACTACAAATTTATGTTACATTATATAAAAGGATCTTCAATCTCCTTTTCTGACCATAATCCTCTCACACTCTCACTAACCAAACCAAGAATAAACCAACAAAATAAAATAAAATGAGGGGGGAGGGCTACAAGGCTTCTGCTGTGGTGGTTTTCAGATGAATAGATCTAATTTCTAATTTAAACATTCATGCTACCAATTCATTAGTGTATATATGTACACACCCTGCTGTGGGGGCAAACAGGCGTTTAATCCCGGCGAAGGATATAAAAGTCATCCGCGGGGGGTGGGAGGGGAGATTAGTTGAAAATAAATATAAAAAAAGATGCTACCTTAAAATGGTTTTCTTCTGAATTCAGCCCTACCCATCAGGTGACCAATCGAATTTGCTAAGATTTGCTTTGTCCTTGTGTGGGTCCACGTGCTGCCGCACATACTTCTTGTTCACCTCAAACACAAAGCCCATTCCTTTGATCTACAAGTTCATATTTTTCCCATGTATCAGCTGCGTTAGTTGTCATAGCTACACGACTACAATAACCCAGTAGGACCATATATTCACTTGACTCACAGAGTCACAGCTTATTGGAATTCAGAGTACTCTAAAAGGCATAAAACATTAAAATGTATGGAAAATAAACTTTTAATTGCATTTTGCTAACTTTAACTGTTTGGTTCCGATTGCAAATAGTTAGTGGCAAATGAACAGCTAGGAAGGAAGACCAAAAGATGTACAGAGTGCACAAAGTGAATTTGTGATGCATATAGCAGTCTATATATACTCTTATTTCATTCCCTCACATTTTCTCTTAAAACAGTTTTGAGATGCTGTTTTCCTTTACACTATGTTTGGTTCAAGGAATTTGAAAGGAGATGGAAAAGAAAATGAGAAGGAAAATAATTCTTCTTGTTTGGTTTTAGAGGAAAAGAAAAGAAAAGTGGAGAGAACCATTTTCTTTTCAAATGTCACAGAGGTCACCCAACTTCATAGAAAAACGTTGTTCTTTCAGCAACCCAATTTCAATTGAAGTGTAAAAGAGGGATAATAGATACCTCAATCAGACAACTAGAGCTTAGAAAGTGCATTCTGCCATTATCAACTGTTTTCCCGTTCACTGTAATTGAATTCTTTCCAATATTCCTCAAAAAGAAAGATCCATCTGGCTCCATCTTAATAATTGCCTAAATATGTGTGAAGAGAGCATCTCAGTATATTGATAAGGCAAATAATAAAACAAAATTGATATTGTGTGCTGTGCTGCCTGTGCAGCGAATTAGGAGCTCATACATACGGAGTATAAGCTAAATATATGAAGAAGCCATAAATTATCACAACTATTGCATCAACCCAGCTATTTCATTTTTTTAAAGGGTGTTATCAAAGATTAATTGAATTGTAACCCCATACTAGTATCCATTTTTCCAAAACAAATGCCTCATTGGAAGAGAAGCTTGAAAGGATTAGATAATCTCACTTGACGTCGAGATATTTTGTTTGCATTGCCTTCTTTTCGCAAATCAATATCAACATCAATGCCATCTGTGGATCTTCCAAGTATCACCTACAAGGTAAAGCTTGTTTAAATAACAAAAGGAAAGAAAGAGAAAATGTAGTACAAACTACAAAGAGGACAACAATAAAGTATGAATGTTGTACCTCTCTTTTCTTAATGAAAGACCTAAGATGGCGGCCATATAAGATGGCAAAAGCACCTTGTGACATCATTGCTCTATGCATAGAAGAACGAGCACACTGCTCCAACCTTATTATTGTCCTTTTGCTTTCTTCAGGGTGATACCTTATTACTGGACATTCCCAATGAGAATATATTAGCATTATAAATAGAAAATGTCAAAAAGGGCATATTATGTTTAGTTTGCATGTTAATGAAATGCAGAGTATATCGTTTGGCTCCCTTTATTAGTTACAGGCTTACTGACACAAATAATAGCTGGCACTTGATGGCCACCAGCCACAAAATTTTTTTTATCATTATCTTCATAGAAGCAGCATCCCAAGTCCCAACTTTTATGCGTAGAAGTAACGTTTGCGTACATCTTACATTTCCCAAGCCTACTTCCAAGTGGGACATGATGTGTATGTTTTGTTCTGTTTGGTTTACCCAAGGCAATCAAACTCGTGATCCAACCCTCGTAGGATAAAAGGATTTTATGAGTCCATACATTATGGTATAAACTGTTGTGAATCGAGAGATTGGTACTGAGGTGCTTTGGGGGTTGTTCTTTTAACTCAATAACTAAAAAACTGTAAAAAATATGGTTTACAGGTAACTTTTGATTATTGTAACTTTGAAGTTAATCTATAAACTTTTAAAGATTATGTGTAACTTTTAAAGATTTCTCAGTGCAATTTATTCAGTGAAGATAAATATAATTGACATAGATGAATCCTATCTGATTAAAATAAAATAATTAAATAAAGTTGAGATTTTCTTACCGATGAGTGAAACCAGACTGATTATTAAAACATAGCAGAAATAAACCAAAACAGAACTAATTGGGGTGTTACACACACGTGTGTAGGATCTTATGAACGTGTTACAATCATATGCTTAACGATCTTGATATTCCTATAGGACCCTGTGTAGGATCTTGATCTTGAGTCTTGACTACCCTGGGTTTACTTGATGGCCAGCAGGTAAAATGGATGTCAATAAAAATTCTTTATAAATGTATGTAGATGATTAGCTAGTATGAACTAATACGGGCGTGTTGCATTTTCCAAGATTTTACAGTGCATGGCTATACATGTGAGCTTTAAAAAAGGATCAATCATTAAACTCTAAAAAACTTACAGTGAGTTGCAGCATATGAATCCTGATCAGGTGGGTCTAAGTCCATGTCAAGTATCTGGCATTCAATGTCATGAGAGCAAACAAGTGAACTATGCATCAGCAAGTTTAAATCTCAGACCCAAACAAATCAGAAAAGAAATAATTTAGAGAATTACCATGGCTTCGATGTCAGAAAAATAAGGTACATCATCATCACTTGTTGGTTCTTCCTGGTCTGATGATGAAGGGTTGAATGAAGATTCTACATTAGCTATGCCAGAACCTGATTCAGCAAATCGTGGCATACTCGGATGTATGTCTGATGCATCTCCCACCTCCTCACAGCACAAAAGGATAAGGGATTTTATACAATCACAAGAGAAAGCTAGGTCATAGGGGAATAAATATATACTCCGTATATTAGAACAGTCATTTACCAGTCCAGCTATAGCAGCACCCTGCTCTTGCAATCTATCAGTGGGGGCGTCAACAATTCCTTGCAAGGATATGTCTTGGCTTGAGTCAGAGAATGCCTTGTTTGCCTCCCCAGAGAGCAAAGAGAGACGGTTAGTTTCAGGCAGCTTGGATTTCACGGCAGAGGAAAGCACTCTATGTTGAGCATGTGCTTCTCCTAAGATGCCTTGTCCAATCTTGTGAGACCATGAAAGAGATGGTATATAACCTTTCCCTTTTGTCAAGGAATTCACTCCTTTAGCATCCTTCTGAATAGCAGGAGATACTGTGTCTATAAAGTGTGTGCTCCTAGGTTCTATCACTGCAGAGCCAAATGACGTGGATGGGTGGATAAGTAAGAATATATCATCATTACAAGGGATTTCAGTGTCCTCAGTGTTTAACGTGCAGCAAATGCTACCATCAGTTAGTTTATTTGACTCTGTGTTTGATGTTAAGTTAGATGGCTCACTAAGCTTTGGACAACAAGGATCTTCCTGGCCACATGTAGAAGAAGCAACAATCTCTGAGTCAATAGAGTCTGTACCATCTGGAGGTAAAGGCAATGTTTTGGAATCAATTAATGACTCCGCTTCATGAGTATATGCCCCACCTTTCGGAATACAATCAGAAGAATTCATGAGAATACCATTTTTATCAGATGACTTGTCCAATATGCTCCTCACATCCTCATCCTCCACGAGAACCTCATCATCGTTCGGAAGATTCAAAAGTGAATCAGGGAGATCTGTAAACTCACCATCTGCAGTAGTTGATGGTAGACAGCAACCCTCACCAACTGGGCATTTTCTATAGTTAAGGGAATTATCTTTGGCCACATGAGGCCCTTCACAGTGTTTAATACTTGAGTGAATACAAGAAGCCCTCCCTTGTAAGGAAGCTGAGAAACCTTCAGAAAATCCAGTATTCCTCAAAACTTCAGTTACTTGGCTATCACCGGCTGTATTTGTGCATCCAGTCGGATAAGCGATAGAAGACGTGGCAGCAATCTCACCCAATGCTTCCGGGAAAGCATTACGCAGAATATCCAGTTCCGCTTCCTGGAACCTTAAATTATCTGAAATACAATTCCCCAGGACACTTCTGTCATGAGACACATTCTCATGTGCATGCTGCTGAAAATCAACCCCGTGTCCATTGAAATCATGTAAAGTGGGTCCCTCCAGAAAACATAGATCAGTGGAATTGAAAAAATCATTTCGAATTTTCTTTTGCAGGGCATAATAGTGTTTGTGTATGCTCTTGTTTTTTCTCTTTCGAGGGACCTCCGTGCTCTCTTTTATGGTTTCGGATTTATTAAACTTTATTGAGGGGCTAAAACCAGAAAGTTCAAGCTCTACAATGCGAGCAGAAGCTTGCTCTGAAATGTCTGGATCATACAGAAGTGAGTTCCACCTTTCCTGCAGTTCTTTTAATGTAAATCTGCGAGAAAATTGCACTGCACCTTTAGCAAGTGCTTCCAAAGAAGCACCTGCCTGCAAATAGGGAAGAACAAAACTCCAATCAATTACTTCTATAAGATTATACATGAAGGAAAATTGCATATTCACAACATCAATGTTATTATAACTTCGATTGTTCAAGAAAGAAGATTATTTGTACTCTGTAATAATCAGTGTTAAGAACTAAATGGGTCTCTGAAGTCTGAACCATCAGCAATATATAACACTGCATAGAATTTAACTTCAGTCTATCAGATATGCAGTCTGAAAATGTTGAGTACAAATAGTAATGGAAATGAAAAGAATAAACAGCACGAACACAGGATCCATGAGACATGAAGGCTATTGTTATAATTATCAATCATTTCCCCTCAAAGGTGTAAATTCAGCTGAGTCTTTTCTTAATGCAAGCAATAACAACATGCAGGTTGAAGCCATGAAAATCTAGGTTACTTTCTAGTTCCTACACTGTCATCCCTTTAAATAATAAGTTCGTACCCATTTAAGCTCTCATGATTCAGGAGCATTATGTAGAACCCTTTATATTCCCGAATTATGCAGTTTCGAAAATGGGTTTTGAAAGAATCATCATTAATTGAAAATGGGTCCTGAAAAAAAATCAATTGATTCAAAAATGATCAAAAAGCAAATAAGAACAGAACGACACGAGTTCAAGGTCAAGTGCATTATACAAAAGAGCTCATTAGGCAGTCAAAATGCTAGGCATCAGCCAAACCACAAACATTTGTATTCCTTTAGCTTTTTAGTGAGTGATTCGTACAACTAATGCGAAAACACATACTTACTGGATCGTGTAAATATGACACGCAGAAGCTAAGCTAATGTTCAAATACTCCGTAATTAAGCGCAGGAAGTAAATAATGAGGAGCGATGAATTGTAGAAGCTTCAATTTAACACCCAAACTAAACAGATATATAATTAACCTCGACGGAGTTCTTCAACAAGAGATCGTCTTCGGGAATCCAAGAGGGGATTGTTGGAGCAGTGGTGGCCATCTACGCTTGGATGAACCCTAAAATCTGCAGAAATGAATTGAATCCGACGCAGTCGGAGCTGAATTGAGCATCTACATATGGTTTCTAAAGCAAATCCATTCAAAAGATTTTGAATCTCCAGGAGCTCGCTCCAGCGATCATAGTGGTCGTTACTTGAGAGCATAGAGCTGCATATCTTCCTCTCTACTCTTTCTTTTTTCTTCCTCGGAAAAATAACCATAAAATTGTGCTCTCTGCCCTGCCTTCTTCTTACCTGTTCTTTAGAATATTTTTTTAGTACTATCAAATCTAATATGGAGTATATAATCTATCTAACGTATTCACAATATCTATTTATACATAATTTTTTAATGAAAAATGCTAGGAATACACTTTTGGGGTAAGGTGTACTCATTTGTCCCCCACCCCCTCCATAACCACATAAATGGGCAAGAATTTTTAAAAAAATTAAATTAATAAAAATTAGATAAAAACGAGTGGTGGAGAAGGGGGTGGGAGACAAATGAAGTACACCAAATGGTGTACCTCTAGCATTGCTCTTTTTTAATTTATTGACATACAAAAAGTTAAGGCGTTTGAACTTGGGATTAATGATACTGAGTACTACTTATTCTTAATTGTTACTCCGTACTACTTTTGCGTTAAACATTTTAAGTTATTTTTAATTTAGCACAACCTATCACTTCTTATCGGAGCATACATACCAATTTTAAAATTAGTTATGGTCGTTGGGTTATTAACGACGACCCAAAACTCGCACACATGCAGAAAGACGAAATTATTTTCGGTGACAGTGAAAAGTGGAATTAGTTTTAAAAAAACGGAAAAATGTTAAATTATTTAAGATAATTTTTCCTTTTTTTAATATGTTAAGAATACAAATAAGAACAGTAAACATTGTCAAGACCATATTAGTTAACATTTTTTAAAACTTCTTTGACAATTTAGTAATATTTTAACTAAACTAAAACAATGATACCAAAAAGTGATTTTCAAATCCACCATTTCCCAAACATCTCATAGAACATTTTCATGAATAAAAAATGTTGTTTTCTCCAAAATGCTAAAATGAGCACATTACTCTAAAATAAGCACAAAACTTCCATGAGAAGAATTATGTTAACATATGATGTCTAAACAAAGAGCTTTGTACCCCGTGACAATATTTATCAAATCTTTAAATACTGATCACTACATGCATTTACAATGTTATTCACTTCTCATCTCTGCTGTAATGAATCTCCCCTGTCCAACATGTAAATTTGCAGGCATATCAATGGAATAAACTGCCATAAATATACCTACTAATAATAGGATGAGGATACTCCAAAGTCCACCCTCCTAAGAGACCTATCCCTTCGACTCTCTATCACACTCCCCAAACTGTGGCACCCAACACAAACTCACACTCCCATTTGGCACAAATGGTGGGGGGGGGGGGTGTTTTTGTGCAAAGTGGCACAATTTGGAGGACGATAAAGGGAGTTGGGGTAGGGGATTTACATCTTTATCCCTCCCCCCCGAGGGCGTCCAACAAAATTGTGGAGGGTAAAATCGTGATGGTTCAGCGGCCTTTTAGGTGGGACCANGAAACGAAATCCCAGCTTGATTAAACAGGGCCAACAAGTGAAGCAACTCTTCGTGTGAGAGCTTTGATGGCCTTTTATCATCAAATCCACCAAAACTCAAGACATTGATTACCATCTCCTTGAAAGAGGTCAGCTCAACCATTTCTTGAGCCTCTTTCCCTCCTTGCAACTTCAACAGCTCCATTAACATCCTTTTCTGCTTGAAAATCGCACCCAGAGTTTTGTTCTTCTTGGTGAAGCAAGTTCTTGTAAAAGCCAACCATTCGTCAAGATTGACGTCTGGGATTGATGCTTTCGGGTGGATCTTAACAACAGAAGAATCGACTTTTGGACAGGGTAAGAAGTCCCTCTTGCTCACGTCCATCACCAACTCCACATCAGCCACCAGCTTCACGTTCGCGGCTAACCTGTTGAACTCAGAATCGCCCGGGTTCGCCAACAGTCTCCTTGCAAACTCTTTCTGTAGCAAAAGAGTGGCGCTCCTGTACGAGGTTGTCCCAAACACCACCTTAGCCACCAGAGGTGAGGAAATCCCGTATGGAATGTTGGCAACCACAAGATCAAACTGCGGAAACTCTGTCTTTAGTGCATCTTGGCATACAACCTGAAAACATCCCACATAAGTGTCTCTTAGGCATAACACTAATCGACAAAACTTGTTTTGAATCCATGGTTAGAGTCAATCAACTTGACCATAAAACAATTGGTCAAACCACAATAAAATATTGAATCTGATCATTTAGTTAGTTCAAACGAATGTCTAATTAACATATCATTATCTCTCAATGTGTGGATTGTGAAAATTGAATTGACCGATTTAGACTGATAAAAGTCTGTGAATTTATTAACACATGCGGAAATAAATAGCATGGAAGCTTTTTACTATACACAAACACTTCATTTAGACATTATATCGAACAGTTTCCGGGAACAGATGATCTTACAGTTAATTTATCACGAAGGCCATGTTCGGCCACGCGTTTGTTGAGGATTTCGATCATACGTTTGTCAACCTCGATGGCTATGACTTTACCGGCAACGTTTAGGAGCTTGAGAGTGAGATTTCCTGTTCCGGGACCGATCTCTAGGACGGTGTCGGTGGGGAGTATGTCGGATTTTCTGACGATGGAGTCGAGAATTCGCGGATTAGTCAGCAGGTGCTGGCCTCTGCTCTTGAGCAAGTATATGTTTGCTTCTTGGTTTTCCTTTCTTCTGCTCATCTCTCCGCCGCCGCCGCCGCCGCCGTCGTCGTATTCTTCATCGTGGTTTCGGACGCCGTTGGAGCCCCGGCTTGGTTTCGGACGAAGATTTAGATGTAGAAAATGGCGGCAAAACACATGTCTGGAGATGCTTTTTTGGAACAAGCTTTTATGATGAAGCATTTTCGACATTTCTTTTACAGGCGGTTCAATTTTTGGACCACTCGTCCGGAGGATGAGCGGAAGAGGGAAAGGGGATTATGGCGGCATTGCTCGGTGGTACAAAATGGGCCGGAATATTTCCAAATTTCCAGTTTTATATTTGTTCAAAAAATAAAAATTACTCCTAGTAAAATAACGGGTTTGGGCTAAATATGGTATAGCTTGCACTTTATAAATGACAGTGACTGGAGCGTGCTCGGATTTTATGCTCAAGCCCATTGACCAGACCGGCCCAAATGAATAACAATATTTATTACTCCAGTATTAATATAATTATAAGAAAGTAATAATAACAACAACATTAATATTATTAATAATAAAAATAATAGGCTATTTTAAATTATTATAAACACACATACATAATTTTGTGGTGAAAAAAGAAATTATAGGTATATTTCATAAAATAAATACATCTTTATTTCTTCGTATTATTTACTATGCATTACTCCGTACTTCCTAGTAACAATATCAAATATAATACATTTTATATATTAGTCGTTATTTGGTATACTCATTATAGTTATTATATCAAACATCTAATATATTAATGCATTACTTTTAAAAAAATTATTATTCAAAAGTCATTGTCATGCTGATCGGGCCATCTCGAAGTATGTGGATAGTCATACGGGCCGAGCTTGAGCTTAAAATATTAGGTCCGCTATAGGGACGGGCTAGACTCGAGCCTAGAAAACTTTATAAGTAAATTCCATAAAAGGTCCCCAGTTATAGTTCATTTTACATATTTAGTCCCTACATATCAAATATCAATAATTTAGTCTCCAATTATTATATTATTTTTCGCGAATGGTCCTTTGTTAACATTTTCGTTAAAACATGGATAAAATTATAAATTCACGCTCTTTTCTTTTCTTACTTAAGCTTCCTCACTCCTCTCGTACTCTTTTTGGAAACCCGCCGCTGAGTTTGAAGCTTTAAACCCAATATCGAAACGATCACTCCTTTCTCAATCGTTCATCTTCTGGGTGGAACTCAAAATCGAAACAAATAATCTTCGTGGATGAGTTTTATGGATTAGTCTCAGGAAATTCAAAGAAAACTAACCTTATAACTCATCCATGAAGGTTACTGGTTTCGATTTTGGATTCCACCAAGAAGACAAACATTTGAGACAGGAGTGATGATTTCAGTTTTGGGTTCAAAGCTTCAAATTCAGCGACGAATTTGGGAAATGAGTGCGAGAGGAAGGAGGAAGATTAATTGAGGAGAGAGTGGACGTGAATTTACAATTTTATCTACGTTTTTAATGGAAATGTTAACAAAGAACTATTCGTGGAAAACAATATAATAATTGGGGACTAAATTATTAATATTTGATAAGTATGAACTAAATATGTAAAACGAACCATAACTGGGAACCTTTTATGAAATTTACTCAAAATTTATTAAGACAAAATTTTGGTATAGTACTACTGAAAATCTACACACATTTTGGCTGGTTATTAAGACAAAATTTTGAGTCTTAATTTCAAGTATAAATTCCTCAACTTGCCAAACAAATGAATTGGACAAATCTGAGCTTTTCAATTGATGAAATGTTCATATCCAAACAATAAAATCATTTAGATTTGCATGAGATTCTGTTTTTGCCCATTCTATTATAGTTTTCTCTTTTGAAGATTGAATATAATAGTATTAGTATCGAGCCTCAAAATTTATTTTATATAATTTTTGAAAGTGTAAATTAGCTTCGGAAACAAATTAAAGATTCTAAATGATGTCCTTAGATAATTTTTTAAAACATTTTAGAGCTAAACGCTGAAGTTATTATCAAAAGGCACTTAGTTGATTGTTGAGATACTAAGAAATTATTGTCGTGATGGGAATCACTAACTTATTTTAACGTTAAATATGGAATAAACATCGATTTTGAGCCCATTTGGCAACAAATTCAACTTTTTGAAAATACAATCTAACCTGAGTGTTTACTCTAATGTCTTCAGGTCTCGTTTGGTACATGGAATTCAAATTATGTAATTGAAATTGGGGACTTCAATTCCAATTCTGGTGTTTGGTAGTACAAAAATTATGTGGATTTAGAATTGATAGTGCAAAAAATATATTGGAATTGGCAGAATTCAATTATATGGAATTGAATCCCATGGGATTTCAATTCCAAATCAATTCCAATTCCACCAATTCCGTATACCAAACGGACGCTCAGAGTTAATTTATGCTATTAAATAAAAATTATTTACAATGCTAGCACTATTTGAATACAATTTCTCTAATATGGTCTCGATCTCAGAGTATTTGACTTTTTCAATTGGGATATTTCTACCACATCAGAAAAAGAAACAAAAAGAAATCCAACATATAAGTCCAGTTGGTTTTAAAATGGAACCCTACCTATGGACTTGCGTGTTGGGCCTATCGCACAAGTGTGCATAAAACGTGTGTCCCCCACGCTATGACTCGCCCACCAAATTTTATCATTTTCAAGTCAAACATTACACACTTTGATTATTAACTAAATAAAAATTATATTGTACGGAGTATATTAGTACAAGAATGATTTCATTAGCTTTGTCCTACAAATTTATTTTAGAAATCTATTTCATTGTACTGTTATGCAATAGAAATTTAATGTAGTTGATGATTAAAATTTAACAAGAGTATCTAATTTAGCACAAAAATAAAAAACAAAGGAATACTTTGAGATGAAGGAAATTAATATGAGTCTGTTTAACAATAGTCTTAGAAATTAGAGTAAATATCTTAAAAATATTATCTAACAATATATAACTTTAAAATTCAATCTAAACCGTTAACATTAATCGAAAACATTAGTAACAAATTTAGGATTAGAGACGAATGACTTTTCATAGATCATAACACACACTTATTTCCAGCTTTGTTGTCGGTGGGGCATTTTGTTCCTCCTCAAAAATCTGTACGTCTGGAGGAAATTTTCCACTCCCTCACCCCTTAGTCCCTTAACTATCTTTAGTGTCTAGAATTCTAATTCCAAAAGAATCCAAAAGAAAAGGAGTTTTCTTTATTTTTCCTCACTAAAGGAAACAATTTTTCTTTGCTCTAGTCTTTTCTTTCTATTTCCTTTTCTTCTATTTTTTTTTTCCTTTTTGGCAACTTCTTCTATGAATCTAAGGCTCATGCTAATTTTATTGACCTTAGTACATTTAATTTGTAGCAAAAAATCTTTTTCAAGAAGAAAATATATACATATAAATCTATGAAAAATGTGAGAAATTTCACATTTTAAATATGGAGTATAGAACTTGGAACAATGTAATTAAGCATCACGCTTTCTCTTTAACCAAACGAAAAATGTGTGTATATAATATTGAAGAGTGGAACCAAATAGAAATGAAGAGAAAGTGACATTGTGGATAAAAGGAAATAATGTGATGGGGACAGATGAAGGATCATCAACACATCGTAATGTTTGGGCGATCGATGGAAGATCCGTCCGGCTCCGGTCGGTGTGGACTCAATAATGTGGGGTGGGGTGGGATATATATTTGATGGGCCGTGCATTTGCTGGCGATCGAGTCGTCCAAAACCCAAATTCGCCCGCCCCCATTTCTGCCCACAAATTTGTGTTTTGTGCATCTTTTTATATCTTTTTTACTCTATTTCGACCTTTTTTCAAAATATATTCTCATTTATATATTTTATTGGTTTATTTTTGTTAGTCATTCGACAAAACAATATTGTCATGCACATCTAGTTTTTGTAGATGTTTTTATGTAGTCCTTAAATATGTAATCTTTATTTTTTTAATTGCACACTATTTTTCAATAGCATTTTTTTTAATGTCATTTCCCTAAATAGCACTTAAAATTTTTATATTCCCTAAATAGCACTTAATAATGTCCATAATGTCCAATGATAGCGAAAATTTACTTGAATAATGACTAATGGATAATGACTAAAAGTGCTACATTGGGGAAAAAAAACATATGTGGTGCTATTTAGAGAAAGTCATTATGTTTTAGTGCTATTTAAGTAAATTTCTCGTGGTATAAACCGTATATGAGTCCAATTGAACCTTTTTCAAGTTAAACTAAATAAACTTTAGAGACTTCATCAGTTGAATAAAAATAGTAATGTGGAGTATTTTATACTATAAAAATTATTTCAATAGATTTATGTTTTTGAGAATTATTAAAATTTTATTTTGTTGTATTGATACGCAACACAAATTAAGAGCAATTGATTATTAAAATTTATGCAGTTTAACTTGAAAACGTTAAAGTGGAGAAATAGATTGGGAGGGAGAGAGTATTTACTCCAAATAGTTGTTGCCGGTTGGTATAATTGTTTGATTTGGTGGCATTAATTGAGGCGTCATGCGGTGGAAAGTGTCCCCAGTCACATGCAGGCATTCAGAGGTGCATGTGTAATAGTCATAAATACATACATACTACTCTCGCTCCTTTCACGTACGTACATAATTATAATTTATTTACATACCATTCCATATATACATACATATACAACTGTGTAGGCATGTGCCTCTACTCTCATCCCCATATATATATACGGAGTATATATGAAGAAAGAATTGAAGAAAGAAGAAGAAGAAGAAGATGGTCCAGCTGAGCATTTATTAAATTACTAGTTTCGTTTCAGTGTATTTGTCTGGTACGATTTTTTCGAATCAAACTAGATAAATTTTAAGCTTTAATTATAAGTGAAATTTGCACTAAATAAGATTAAAACATAATGACTTTCCTAATGTAGGACTTAAACTTTTTTATTCCCTAAATAGCACTTAATAATGACCTAGTGGAAGAAATAATGTCTAGTAATGATGGACATTTAGTTGAATAATGACTACTTGATAATGACCAAAAGTCCTACATTGGTAAAATAAAAACATATAGTCCTATATTGGGAAAGTCATTATGTTTTAGTCCTATTTAGGTAAATTTCTCTAATTATAAATGATTTGTATTGCATATTAGTATAATACAACAAAAATCTGAAAGTTACGTTCTTAACAAAGTAAATCTTATAAAATTCTTAGCGGGTTTTGAACATCGGTTTTGTGACCCCAACGCGAAATGAAGCCAACCCGAATACTCGTTAAATTTTTGGGTTAGGTCAGAACGGGTCGGGTTATGCCGCACTTAATTGTTTACTTTTATTGGTTACTTAGTTTTATATATTCATATAAAATATGATATACTCCGTACCCATTAGACCACTCAAAACTCAATGTGCATAAAATCTAATCTAAGTCTGACGGCATTTCAGTCTCTCATCTCTCCCTCTCTTGGTTTCTCTCTCTTTCGTTCTTCCACTCTTCTGCCGATATTAGGTGCCGACTCAATCAACATGGTGAGAAGATACAAGAATAATATTGGACTTTCTATAATTTCTTAATATATATGTATTGCATATTAGTATAATAAAACAGAATTCATTTATGAGAATGTGAGTAAACATGATGAAAGGAGTACTGAAATAAATGTAAGAAAAATAAAAGTATAATACTAAAAAGAAAGAAAAGTTGAAAAAAATCAAAAAATTATGATAGAAGAAAACGGAAAGACTAAAAAATGATGCCAATAGAGGGAGGACTGAGGAGTACACGTGGAATGCTACCTATGAAGAATTGAATGAACACCAAGTAAAATGCCAAATCAACAAATCTTCAACCAGATTATTATAATTGTGGCATGAAGTACGTTCAATTTTATTATAAATTTTAAAGATATAATATTTCTTTGTTACAAATAGAAAATCAGATATCTATTTATTTACCGTCTCTCAGTAACCATCTGATCGGGCTTGAGGCGTCCTCGGGAATTAGACTCACCTTTTTTTTTTTTGCAAAAATAAACTTTGGAGAGAACTGAGAAGCAACATTAAAAATGATATGGAAAGACTTTTTGAAAAACTTTTGTTTGTGTAGTTGAATAATGACAATGACATTAAAAATGATGTAGAAAATGGTACACATATATACATACATGACTCCACCAAGTACAATCACAACAATTAGTACTATTCACTAATATTGTAAAATGGTGTGAATACTAAATGAAGAGAGAATCTTATGGGAAAGCTACCGCTGTGGAGCCGTCCGTACCTCATTTTTTTGACCTTTTGGTGTTATTTACGGAGTATTCCTATATTTTATACTCTACTCGACACAAAAGAAATGAATTTTATGTGTGGAGGTGCTTAAGGGGTGTCTTACCTACGGCGGTAGCTCTTATAGCCAAGGGGGTTGCTATTGAGCCTAACTGTCGCATCTGTGGGGCACCGGAAGAATCAGTGGAGCATGTTTTCCTTTTCTGTCCTTTTGCTCAGGCTACTTGGAGACTCCTACACAGAGAGATCGCCGCAGGTATGCACGAGAACTTTAATAATTGTTTGGCGGCTGTTTTTGGATCGTCTTCGGCTGTCGATGGGGCAGTGATGGCTGCGGGTATTTGGGCCATCTGGAAAGCCCGAAATCAGGCGTGCTGGGAACTCAAGGTGGTCAGACCGGAGGTTGCTGCTGATTGGGCACGAGAAGTATGCGTGGCTAGGACAAGTCGTGATATACATGGTGTCACGATGACGACGTCGGAGGGGTCAGTGCAGCACTTGGATCGGCCGGGTCTCCTGCGTTGCTTTGTTGATGTAGCCATGTTTGAACAGGTTGGTTCTGCATCGGTGGCGGCAGCCCTTCTTGATGGGTCAGGCAAGTTCATCGGGGGTTTCAACAAGCTTGTCACCTGTCCCTTGGTACCGAGGTACGTAGAAACTTTAGCTATTAAGGAAGCTCTATCTTGGCTCAAGGAGAGGAATATCCATGAGGTTGGTATTTTCTCTGACTGTGTTCAGGTGGTCCATGCTCTAAAGAACGACGTGGTAGATGCTCGGTCATATCTGAACGCGGTGGAGGATGATTGCAAAAAACTCACTTATTTCTTTAACTATGTTAAATTTTTTCACATTCCTAGACAGTCGAATTTGATTGCGCACACCCTTGCTAGATTGGCTGTTAATGGGTGCTATGAATGACATTCTGTTCCTCCTAATGATGTATTGCATTTACTTTGATGAATGAAAGTGTTTGAGTTTCAAAAAAAAATTACTAAAAACTACAAAAAAGTATTGGTGAACTTTATTTAAAAAAAAAGAATTTATAAAATACATTTAATCGTGTTTTAAAAAAGAAATTTAAAAATGTAATCCTTATTTTGTGACTTCTATAAATGAAATTTGTAAATTGCACTTTGAGACAGAAAGAATATTAAAAATTAAAAATTTCAATAAAATGGAACATTCGTGAGTATTCCCTTCTTCCAGTATTTGCACATTTAACTCTTCCAGGTTACACTCTACAAACTTTATTATAAATTAATCAAATATTACAATTTGTGCCAGTAGAAACTAATTTAATTGGATTTATCATAAAAAAATTGTGCCACAATATTAACATACAATACACTCTTTTTAATGTGTTTGTCTAGTTTGAATTTTGATATTCAATACTGTATGCTCTGTATTATATTGTATATCAATAAAATAAAATGATATTTTAAAAATATTTTTCAGAATAAATCTAATTCAATTATTCTATACAAATTAAACATGTAATGCAATTTTTATTTAATTATTATCAAAGTTTGTACAACTTGACTCAAGAGTGTCAATTTGAAGAAACACACTCAAATCAAGGTAGTAATTTTCATTTAATTATTGATCATGTCTATTTCACTTTAACTTTTTAAAGTTAAATAGGATGATAGATTTTAGGATGATAATTGTTACTATTGATCATGTTAATATTTCTTTGGTTGTAATATTCATCATCATTATTATTATTTATTAACAGGTGAACAGAATTATAAACTCAATATATAGAATCTTTTTTAGGGTTCAACTCGCAAGCCGCTAAAATGAACGCCTATAGGACACCTTGATAAACAAGGTTGACCCAAACCCCACTCCGATGGCATGATAGAGTTTATGATGTGGTAAGAATTGAATCCAGTATATTAATTACTACTCCCTTCGTCCCTGAGTGTTTGTCCAATTTCATTTTTGCACACCATCCAATGCACTTCTTTAATCCATTTTATCTTGTAATTTGTATATTAAAAAATTCTAAAAATTATATATTAATAATCTATATGTTAAGACGAATCAAACAAGATCACACATGACTATTTTTAGGCTTACACAATGAGAGAATTTGATGAGTCAAAGTGCTTAGATGAACAGTTCCAAAAGTCAAAAGTGGACAAACACTCAGGGAAAGTAGTTTAACTATTTTACTACTAGACAAAAAAATATGACACAAAAATCCAAATAATTTTATTTTTATACTCTATTCGTCTTAAAATTATCTTTTCATTTACTATTACTAGGTCAAATTTTAAAGAAATCACTCCAGACAGAAGTAAAATATAATTTTATCATCAAAATAGAAATTCCATATTTTTATTCCCAAAATAAGAATTTGTATTGAGACATTATGAACGTTTATAATGGCATCTCAATGTAGTTTTTGATACTAGGGCAAGGTTCTAGTGACATTAACCCCTAATGTCATCCTATGACATGAGCTCCGTTTGAGGTCCCTACGGTGCTCCGTTCAAAAAATTGATTGTTCCTACCCTCTCTAACCCCCCCAACTCGGCCCGACCCGAACCAACCCCTCCTCCCCTGTCAATTGCACCCCACAAGATGTAGTTGACTTTGGAGTCAAAATTTGACTCCAAAGTCAACTACATCTTGTGGGGTGCAATTGACGGGGGAGGAGGGGTTGGTTCGGGTCGGGCCGAGTTGGGAGGGTTTATCGGGGGGGTTAGAGGGGTAGGAACAATCAATTTTTCGAACGGGGCACCGTAGGGACCTCGGGTCATCCCATGACATTGAGTTCCAATGTCATGGGAACCGTGGTGTTGATACTATATATTGACATTGGACTCCTATTTTGGCGATAAAAATCTTTTAATATAATTTTTAAATATATAAATTTTTATTTTTAAATTATACTCCAATTTTAATGAAATGGAAACACCATAAATTTGATGGGCGGAGTATAATGCTCCGTGTGTCTGTAGTCTGTACACTGTACGTATATACGGAGTATAAATAAGGACTGACACGGAAACCCATTTCTCGCCTTCTCCTCCCGGGTTTTTCCCCCACCCAGACCCAGACCAAGACCCTAGTGTAAAGTTTTACCTCCCACTCTCCAAGTTTCAACCTTTCTGCAACCTCACATCTCGGGGCTCTGCAGCTTCAATTTCCCCTCCTCCATTTGAGAAATCAGCGAGCTTTAGCTCAGAGGAGAGGAGCTGCAATGGGGAAATGGGGGCTGCTGCTGCTGCTAATGGTGTTCCTGCTGAGTTCTGGGTCGACTCGCTGCACTGTCACCTATGACAGGAAGGCCATTGTTATCAATGGAGAAAGGAGACTGCTTTTCTCCGGTTCTATTCACTACCCTAGAAGCACTCCGGAGGTACTATTTGTCATTCTCTCTCATTTTTATCACCTCCAAGAAGACGAAGTAGAAAAACAATGTTGCTAAAGTATATTGATCTGTATATTGATGTGTCGGTGCAGATGTGGGAAGATCTAATACACAAGGCTAAAGAAGGAGGGTTGGATGTGGTTGAGACCTATGTGTTTTGGAATGGGCACGAGCCTTCTCCTGGAAATGTATACCTTTCTTTATCTTTTGCAGTACCACTTTTTCAATTTTCGTTTTTTTCCATGTTGAGGGTCTCTCTCTTTTTCTAAATTATCTGTGGATTTCAGTACAACTTTGAAGGGAGATATGATTTGGTGAGGTTTGTGAAGACAATCCAGAGAGCTGGGCTTTATGCTCATCTTCGCATAGGTCCTTACATTTGTGGAGAATGGAATTTTGGGTATTTCTCTTCTCATTTGCTCCTCATATCTAAGATCTGGAACTTTAGCTTGGTGTAATGCTTGATTTTTTTTCTTGATTCTCTGCAAAATGTTTAGATTTGAGCTTCTTCTTGCATTGGGTACTGATTATTTCTGCTCTTTTTTTTGCTGCTTGAATGCTTTGTTTGTAGAGGCTTCCCTGTTTGGCTTAAGTTTGTTCCTGGAATTAGCTTCAGATCAGACAACGAGCCCTTCAAGGTCTTCTAACTTCCCGCCCTCTCTTGGTTATCCACTTCAGGAACAACACATTTACTGCTGTTCTTGTCCATCTTTTTTCCTTTTTTTCATGAATATTTGCTTCTGATGTGACATGGCAGAGGGCGATGAAAGGGTTCACTGAGAAAATTGTTAATTTGATGAAGAGCCATAATCTGTTTGAGTCCCAAGGTGGCCCGATTATACTCTCCCAGGTATACCTCCAAATCCATGTTCTTATCTAAACATCTTTGTAGCTTACAGAATGTAGGATTAAATGCTCTATTAGACTCTGCAAAGCTATCAAAAATTCCACCAAAACTATAGTTATTGTGAAACGGAACCTTGAGCAATGCATCAGCTTTATGAAAGAACAACAACAACAAACCCACTAGAATCCCACAAAAAGTAGAGTCTGAGGATCAGTGTATAGAGAGGCCGTTTCCAAGAGACCCCAACTCAAAAACATCGCATCAATTTTACAAATTTGAGTGTTTTAGTTATTTGATCAAATGATGATAATGTAATGTTACAGATTGAGAATGAGTATGGACCCCAAGCAAAGATGTTAGGGGCCTCAGGCTATAATTATGTGAATTGGGCTGCAAAAATGGCAGTTGAAACAGGCACTGGTGTCCCGTGGGTTATGTGCAAAGAAGAAGATGCCCCTGATCCTGTGGTAAGCTACCCTCCATTGTTGGACCCAAAGATCATAATTTCTTTCATTCAATCCATTTGAAAGACATCTTAGGATAAGTTCTCATTCTGTCTTGTCTTTCTAGATAAACACATGCAATGGTTTCTACTGTGATAAGTTCACTCCCAACCAACCTTATAAGCCAGCAATTTGGACCGAGGCCTGGAGTGGTTGGTATGCAATCTTGTCTCTCCTTTACTCACTTTCTGTTTCGTACCTGGAAAATAAAAGGCAAAGAAATAAATGATGGTAATTTGGAAAGGAAGTGAATTTGAGGGAAAATAAAAGAGGAGCTTTAAACTCAGTTATTTTAATTTCTAGTTATATTCAACTCATATTACTCTTTCGGTCCAAAAATTTTCTTTCTAGTTGACTTTTTGGTCAACACTTGTAAACTTTGAACATAAGAGGTACACAAAATATCATTAGATCCATTTTGAAATATCATATTGTTAAAATATTTATTGGTCTATAAATATAGATATTAATAATCAAGTGCCACATTTAAGTCAAATGTAAAGAAAATATTAGGCTGGAGAAGTATTTTACTACGGGTAAAACAATTGAGACATTTAAACATATGTCAAATGTTTTAACTGTATTAATTAATAATTACTCTTCCGGTCCGAAGTTAATTATTCACTTTTTTCTTTTTGTTTGACCGAAATTAGTTGTCCAATTTTCATATTTAATAAAAACAATTCAGGATAAATTGTGTACAATATTTTAGAAATAGGGTGTTAGCATTATTGACATGAATGAATGACACTCATTTGAAGGATTAGTTTAAAATTATAAACTCATTTTTTTAATAATGAGATTTTAGAAAGTGGATTTTAGAAGGATGAGTATATTTTATTTTCCTTTACAGTTTACTAAGTAAAATCACACATGAAGATAATAACCTTCAACACTTTTTCTGGAAATATTAATTCTATATTATTTTCCTCAGCATTTTTGACATCCAATCAAACCCGAAGGGTCTGTTCTCTTTGTCTGATTTAATTGAATTTGATCTAATTTTATTAAGCTTTGATCTGGTTTGTTCTGTTTTGATTCAATTTATATTTAAAATTGTTTCTTTTCTTATCTAATTTCATTAAGAATACATAATATGAATAAGTGGAAGAGAACATGCTCTAAGTCAGAGACGGATTACGTGTTGAATCACGCCAGTTTTCTGTTGACCTAAAAAGCCCCACTGATTGGGTTTTGTAATTTTGGGACCCAAAGGATCCCAATAGCTTTCGGGCTGGTTTGGGTAT